TTCCTGGCTGTGAGAACCGTTCAGCAGTGGAACTCTCTGCTCTGGAGTGTGGTGGAGGCTCTTTCTTTGGAAGCTTTTAAACAGAGGCTGGATGGCCATCTGTCAGGGGTGATTTGAATGCAATATTCCTGGTTCTTGGCAGGGGGTTGGACTGGATGGCCCATGAGGTCTCTTCCAACTCTTTGATTCTATGATTCTAGGGGGTGACTAAAATGATCAATGGTCTGGAGAACAAGCCCTATGAGGAGCGGCTTAAGGAGCTGGGTATGTTTAGCCTGAAGAAGAGAAGGCTGAGAGGAGACATGATAGCCATGTATAAATATGTGAGAGGAAGCCACAGGGAGGAGAGAGCAAGCTTGTTTTCTGCTTCCCTGGAGACTAGGACGCGAAACAATGGCTTCAAACGACAAGGAAGGAGATTCCATCTGAACATGAGGAAGAACTTCCTGACTGTGAGAGCCGTTCAGCAGTGGAACTCTGTGCTCTGGAGTGTGGTGGAAGCTCCTTCTTTGGAAGCTTTTAAACAGAGGTTGGATGGCCATCTGTCAGGGGTGCTTTGAATCATAGAATCAAAGAGTTGGAAGAGACCTCGAGTGATGGCATCCCCCTCACACCCCACCCCGTGGCTGGTACTGAGCACAGCCTTCAAGAGGTTGAAGATGGGAAAAGACTATATATTCCTTTATCCATGTACAATTGTCTGTCTTGTCAGTCATAGAATCATAGAATCCTAGAGTTGGAAGAGACCTCATGGGCCATCCAGTCCAACCCCATTCTGCCAAGTAGCTGGAATATTGCATTCAAATCACCCCTGACAGATGGCCATCCAGCTTCTGTTTAAAATCTTCCAAAGAAGGAGCCTCCACCACACTCCGGGGGAGAGAGTTCCACTGCTGAACGGCCAAGAAGCAGGAATACAATATTCCTTCTTCTTGGCAGAATGGGGTTGGACTGGATGGCCCATGAGGTCTCTTCCAACTTGATTATTCTAAGGAAGCTTTTGAACTACTAGAGGAGCTGCATAGAATGGCATTCCCTTATATCACATAGTACCAAAAACACATTTACAAACAGCATTAAATAACCTGGTAAAATTTATTTATTATTATTACATTATTATTAATTATTGGATAACAAAAATAATAACCCCCACAAATCCCATACAACAATAATTATTAATATTACCGTGCTACTTATATAAAACCCAAGGGACTTGCCTCGGGGCCAATGAGGCACTTGCGGTCATTTACAAAATCATAACTTAATTTAAATTATTAACCTTCAGTGTCAGTCGATGCAGGTATTGTGGGGTGAAAGACAATTCCTGGGCCAAGCCGGGGAGGACAGCTCCCAAAATCCAAAACAAATAACTAACTGAGTTGTTGGGGAATTGTAGGAGCATTTCCAAGCTTCGAAGGAAAGACCCCCATTATCCCAAACCCACAAGAAGCAACTCTTCTTGGGATTTCAACGGGGCTGCCTCAGTGCACTGTAGGGCAACACATTATGTGAACTGAACCACCTAAACTGGGTTCTAAAGACGAATGGAGACTCCACCACAGACATCAGAAGAGCTGCAAGACCAAGAAGAAGCCACGAGAGTCAAGACAAAGGTTCACCCAGAGGGAAAGTGTTCTTACCAGACATCAAGGGAACCACTGACCACAACTGAGGAAGAAACACAACCTCCAGACTATCTATAGACCCACTAAGAAAATCCAGCAATTGCTACATTTGGCAAAGGACGAGTAATCTATTGCATACAATGCAGCTGTAAACAACTCTACGTAGCGACCACCAAACGCAGCAGCATTGCCCAGGCATGAATCGAAGAACATGAAAGGCATATGAACCAACCTGGACACAGCATATTATCGGAGAACACAGAAATGCTGGACCATTCTCACAACCACCATGTCAGGCTACACAGAGAAGCCACTGAAATCCACAAGCATGTGGACAGTTTCAACAGAACGGAGGAAACCCAAGAAAATGAACACAATCTGGCAACCAGTATTTAAAAACTCTAAAATCAGGACAGCAAATAGTCTTGCAGTTTCAAAGCCGGTCTACCAGTTTTTTAAATAAAAAACTCTAAAATCGGGACAGGGAATTCCAGACAGGAAACAATCAGGGCCAGCTAACACCTCCCAACAAAGGATTCCCCCAGGCAGGAAGTGACGAGACTGGATTCTGATTTTACTGTTGAGACGCTAATGATTGTTATACTGATGTTAATGATTTATGTGGTAATTGTTTTTAATTGCCCTATACTTTTTTGTGATTTTTGTACTGATGTTGTTCACCGCTTTGAGTCGCCTGAGGGCTGAGAAAAGCAGTACAGAAATAAAGTAAGTAAATAAATAAATAATAGCCAGGCCTTGAAGCTGCAAGGGCATTTAATGCTAATCTAGTCGGACAATTGCAACATTCACACTTGCCTCCAGCAGACAAGAGCTCTTTCTTCCACCCTGGATATGAACCCCACTTGCCTAGTTTCCAACAGACCTCACAACTTCTGAAGATGCCTGCTATAGATGTGGGCGAAACATCAGGAGAGAATGCTTCTGGAAAATGGTCATACAGCTCAGACATTCCATAGATCTATAAACCTCACTTGCCTAGTTTCCAACAGACCTCACAACTTAAGATGCCTGCCACAGATGTGGGCAAAATGTCAGGAGAGAATGCTTCTGGAACATAGCCAGACAGCCCGGACATTCCATAGATCTATAAGCCCCACTTGCCTAGTTTCCAACAGACCTCACAACTTCTGAAGATGCCTGCCATATATGTGGGCAAGACATCAGGAGAGAATGCTTCTGGAACATGGTCATACAGCCTGGACATTCCATAGATCTATAAACCTCACTTGCCTAGTTTCCAACAGACCTCACAACTTAAGATGCCTGCCATAGATGTGGGTGAAACATCAGGAGAGAATGCTTCTGGAACATGGTCATACAGCCCGGACATTCCATAGATCTATAAACCTCACTTGCCTAGTTTCCAACAGACCTCACAACTTCTGAAGATGCCTGCCATAAATGTGGGTGAAACATCAGGAGAGAATGCTTCTGGAACATGCCCAGACACCCTGGAAAACACCCATAATGTTCTTGTGGTGTCCAATTTTTTTCACTGACCAGGAATCAATCAAGGTCAACTAAGACCTCCCAACAAAGGATCCCCCCAGGCAGGAAGCAGCCTTAATGTCGTTGTGGTGTCCAAATTTCTCCCCTGGACATTCTATCTTTCCCAGAATTGTTCACAACTGGAGTCCCATTGACCGCTAATTGCTCCTTGTCTTACAGGCCTGAGTATTAAATGTGGGAGTCTGAGATTCTGTCTCAAGAATTGGTTCTCCTTGTTTATCTAAGCTGGAAAAAAACTTGAATGCCGTGCCCTTCTCATGCGATGCTGATTCCCCTTCTATCAAGTTGGAGGATTCTAAGAATTTTTGAATTCCCCGAGTCTGCAATAAATCAAAAACCAGCCCAGACACAACATTATCTGGAGCCTGGGTTGAAGGGGGAGATGTTTGTGGTCTTCACAGTGCATTTTTGAGACTGAAAATCTGTATAGACCACAGCGACGACACCGAGTGCTTTCCCCTCGCGAAGGCCAAGATGGGGAGGAGGGAGGCTCCCGTAATGGGAAGAACCAGCATTTCTCTGCTGCCTAATCATTGCCTGGCTGTCCTCATAGGTTCTGGTTGAGGCCAAGAGCGAAAGGGTTCCTTCCATAAGTGAAGGAGGTGCTCAGAAACTGAGGTAGACGCACTGAGTCAAGCACATTTTCCTCTCTGGCCGTTCCAGAAAACGTGCGGTGAAAACATGCCACGTTTCCAGCCCAGGAACGTCGCCGCTGCCTGCTTGGTCCTGTATTTTTGAAAAAGCCCTCCGCACAAATGCTCTGCCGAGTGGAGAATAAATAAAAACAACAATAAATACGCAATACAGGAGTGGAAGGGGACCCAGAACCAAGGGCACAGCCACCGTGGGTCAGAGGTCCCTGCAAGGGAGGCCGCCGTGTTAACATCAATGGGACGATTCCAGAAGTCATACCCACTCTTTATCCTTCCTTCCTTCCTTCCTTCTTTTCCTTCCTTCCTTTCTTTTTTTCTTCCTTCCTTCCTTCATCTTTCCTTCCTTCCTGTTTTTCCTTTCCTCCTTTCTTTCTTTCTTTCTTTCTTTCTTTCTTTCTTTCTTTCTTTCTTTCTTTCCTTCCTGTCTGTCTTTCCTTCCTTCCTTCCTTCCTTCCTTCCTTCCTATCGTTACCGTCTTTCCTTTCTTTCTTTCTTTCTTTCTTTCTTTCTTTCTTTCTTTCTTTCCTTCCTTCCTTCCTTGCTTTCCTTCCTTCCTCTTTCCTTCCTTTTTTCCTTCTTTATTTCTTTCTTTCCTTCCTTCTCTTTTCCTTCCTTCCTCCTTCTCTTTCCTTCCTATCTTTCCTTCCTTCCCTTCTTCTTCCTTCTCTTTCCTTCCTCTCTTTCCTTCCTTCTTTCCTTCCTGTCTTCCTTCCTTCCTTCCTTCCTTCCTTCCTTCCTTCCTTCCTTCCTTCCTTCCTTCCTTCCTTCCTTTCTTCCTTCCTTCCTTTCTTCCTTCCTTCCTTCCTTTCTTTGGTTCTTTCCTTCCTTCATTCGTTCCTTCCCTCACTCTTTCTCTCCTTCTTTCCCTCTCTCTTTCTTTCCTTCCTTTCTTCTCTTTTTTTCTTTCCTTCTCTCCATCCTTCCTTCTCTACCTCTTTTTTTCCTTCCTTCCTTTGCCCTTTGGTTCTTTCCTTCCTTCTCTCCTTTATTCCTTCATTCCTTCCCTTCTTCTTTCTCTCTTTCTTTCCTTCTCTCCTTCTTCTTTTTTCCTTCTTCTTTCCTTCCTTCCTTCTTCCTCTCCTTCCTTCTTCCTTCCTTCCTTCTTCCTTCCTTCCTTCTTCCTCCTTCCTCCTTTCCTCCCTCCCTCCTCCCTCCTCCATCCCTCCCTCTTTCTTTCTTTCTTTCTTTCTTTCTTTCTTTCTTTCTTTCTTTCTTTCTTTCTTTCTTTCTTCCATTTTGCCATTCCCAAAACTTGGAACCAGAGGCCTTTCTTCTCACAAGATTCCTCTCCGGAGTCTGATCCATCACCTATAAGGCCTCGAAACCCTAAAGGTAACAGATCCTCCCACCTCTTGAAAGCTAAGCATGGTCAACCTTGGTTAGTGCTTGGATAGGAGAGCAACAATGAATTTCCGAGGCAAAACCACCTCAAGATCCCTGGCTTAAGAAACCCCTGTGGAGTTAATAGGCTCACTACCAGTTGACAGGTAATGGGCGCATGCCCCAAGAGAGACAGACAGGGTTGGCCATATAAGCAACTTGGCTTGCTCATTCTTTCCCCCAGAATCCCCCCTTGGTCCTCCTGAGAAGATCCTGAGGCACCAACAGCTCTAGAGCAGAGACCATCGTGGTACCCATTTGTTAGCAGTTCGAATGTCTTAAGAGTTCCTCGCAGAGGTTGTGGTGTTGCAGTTCTGCCACATCAACAAGGACACCTAAACAGGAACCTCGGAGGGTCTCCAATTAGAGCATCCTTGGAGGGCCTATTGGTGGCCTCGTCGGTTCCGTAGGACCTCTAAGATGCGGGCTTTCTGTTTCAGCCACTGGTTCGAGAGTCTCTTTGGTGCCTTGGGGACGAAAAAGGTGTACTTTAAGCGCGGGGTCTTCTGGTCCGTCACCACCAAGGCCTGCAACGTCAAGGGCTCCTTCAGTGGCCCACGGCCCACGATTGTCTCCACGGCCTTGGTGGCCCCGCTGTAGCGAAGGACGGATCTGCTCTGCAGGTGGACATCCTGCTCGGAGGGCACGAGGACGTAGTTTCCGTTGAGAGCGTAAGAGTTATCCCGGCGGCGGAGAGCCAGGTAGATCCCGTCACTGGCAGAGGAAGAGCCGCTGCTCTGGCGGATCAGGATGTGAGTCGCTCCTGCAGGGATGGTGACCACGTCGTTGTAGCCGTACCTGGTGGGGAAAAAGACAGGATATGTTTCAGGAATAAACATGGGTAGAGAGTTATTGTTATTGTTTTGCTTTGCTATGAGTTATTTTTGCTGTATTGTTGTTGTTGTTGTTGTGTTTTTTGTTTTTGATGTATTTGGCCTCGGCCTCTTGTAAGTCACACCAAGTCCTGCGGGAGATGGTAGCGGGGTATAAATCAAATCAAATCAAATCAAATCAAAGAGTTGGAAGAAACCTCATGACTTTCTTTTTGTGAGAAGACCGAGGCAAAGAAGGTATTTAGTAGTTCTGCCTTTTCCCTATCCCCTGTCAGCATTGCCCCATCTTCTCCTCGAAGAGGCCCTATCGCCTCCTTGTTTTTCCTTTTTCTACTGACATAAGAAAAGAATCCCTTTTTATTGTTTTTAATGTCCCTGGCAAGCCTGAGCTCATTTTGTGCTTTAGCCTTGCGGACCTTTTCCCTACAGGTGTTGGCTATTTATTTGAATTCTTCTTTGGTGATTTCTCCCTTTTTCCAGTTCTTGTGCATGTCTCTTTTGTGTCTCAGCACAGTTAGAAGTTCTTTGGACATCCATTCTGGCTTCTTTGCACTTGTCCTATTTTTTTCTTTTTGTTGGCATGGTTTGCAACTGCGCCTTGAGTATTTCACTCTTGAGAAACTCCCATCCATCCGTAACTCCCTTGTCTTTTAGAATCTGTGTCCACGGAATGCTGCTCAGTGTTTCCTTCATTTTTTGGAAATAAAGGTTTATTATTATTTTTATTATAGCAAAGGCTTAATTGCGACATATAGGATGCTTTACCAAGGTTTGGGGAATTATGTTTAGTTTAGTTTATTAATCATGTCAGAAACAAGTTGTGGGAGGGCAGCCTGTTCAGCGCCTTCCAGGTTGTCCAGTCTTCTGTGTGCCCAGGAGAGAGATTCTCATCCCATCTTAGCCACTGATTGATTTTTCTGGGTTTTAGCCTGCCACTTTTGGACTCTCGCTTGCTGAGGTGTTCTTGTGAGAATCTCTGTAGATCTTAGGAGGCTGTTTCTTGATGTAAGGCGTTATCATGCTGGCTGATACCCAAACAGGGAATGGGCTAAAGGTTCTCTTTGTTCTTCCATTGCTGGCTGCTGCTCCGAAGCTCTAGGTGCTCCTACTGCCTATTACATATTATATTACATATAATATTTTATATTACATATAAAATAGACCCTGTCTGATTCCACAGCAAGCTGGCTTCAGGAAAGGCAAAAGCTGCACATCGCAAGTGCTGAACCTGACTCAGCACATAGAAGGTGGCTTCGAAAGGCAGCAGATCACGGGAGCTGTTTTCAAAGACCTGTCAACGGCCTATGATACTGTGAAGCACCGCCTCCTCCTGAGAAAAATGTAGAATATCACAAAGGACGACGACCTCATCCGCCTCATAGGAAACCTGCTACAAAACAGGAGCTTTTTTGTTGAGTTTCAGGGCCAGAGAAGCAGATGGCGGAAACAGAAGAACGGCCTGCCTCAGGGGAGCGTGCTTGCTCCATCCATGTTCAACATTTACACAAATGACCAGCCACTGCCAGAAGGGATGGAGAGCTTCATCTATGCAGATGATCGTGCCATCACCGCTCAAGCAGGGAGCTTTGAAATGGGTGAACAGAAGCTCTCCGAAGCTCTAGGTGCTCTTATTGCCTATTACAGGGAAAACCAGCTGATCCCTAACCCATCTAAAAAAAAGACATGTGCTTTTCACCTTAAGAACAGACAAGCATCCCGAGCTCTGAGGATCACCTGGGAAGGAATCCCACTGGAGCATTGCAACACACCCAAATACCTGGGAGTCACCCTGGACCGTTCTCTGACCTACAAGAAGCACTGCTTGACTATCAAGCAAAAAGTGGGTGCTAGAAACAATATCATACGAAAGCTGACTGGCACAACCTGGGGATCACAACCAGACACAGTGAAGACATCTGCCCTTGCGCTATGCTACTCTGCTGCTGAGTATGCATGCCCAGTGGAACACATCTCACCACGCTAAAACAGTAGATGTGGCTCTTAATGAGACATGCCGCATTATCACGGGGTGTCTGCGCCCTACACCACTGGAGAAATTACACTGCTTAGCCGGTATTGCACCACCTGACATTCGCCGGGAAGTAGCAGCCAATAGTGAAAGGACCAAGGCAGAGACATCTCCAGCTCATCCCTGTTTGGATATCAGCCAGCACGTCAACGACTTAAATCAAGAAATAGTTTTCTAAGATCTACAGAGACACTCGCTGGAACACCTCAGCAAGCGAGAGTCCAAAAGTGGCAGGCTCAAACCCAGAACCTCAATCCATGGCTGATACCAAATGAGAGACTCCCCCCTGGGCACACAGAAAACTGGGCGACTTGGAAGGCACTGAACAGACTGCGCTCTGGCACCACGAGATGCAGAGCCAACCTCAAGAAATGGGGCCACAAAGTGCAATCCATGACATGCGAGTGTGGAGAAGAGCAAACCACTGACCACCTGCTGCAATGCAACCTGAGCCCTGCCACATGCACAATGGAGGACCTTCTTGCAGCAACACCAGAGGCACTCCAAGTGGCCAGATACTGGTCAAAGGACATTCAATCGACTACCAAGCTTGCAAACTTTATGTTTTGTTTGTTTGTTTGTTTGTTTGTTTAAAAATGCAATACAACTGTTTGGTTTGCTTCTGACGCGATAAATAAATACTTATTGGGTTGTTGTGTGCTTTCTGGGCTGTCTGGCCATGTTGTATATACATATAATATTTATAATATTATAATGTAATGCAATATAATAATAATAATATGATATTATAATTATATATTTATATTATGTGTAATATTACTAATAATATTGCGATATAGTGCAGTGGTTCTCAACCTTCCACATGCCGCGACCCCTTAATACAGTTCCTCATGTTGTGGTGACCCCCAACCATAACCCTAACATGAGGAATCGCCATGTAAATAATGATCTGCAGGATGTACTTTCATTCACTGGAGCAAATTTGGCACAAATACCTGGTATGCCCAAATTTGAATACTGGTGGGGTTGGTGGGGGGATTGATTTTGTCATTTGGGAGTTGTAGTTGCTGGGATTTACAGTTAACCTGCAAACAAAGAGCATTCTGAACCCCACCAACAATGGAATTGAACCAAAGTTGGCACACAGAACTCCCATGACCAACAGAAAATACTGGAAGGGTTTGGTGGGCATTGACCTTGAGTTTGGGAGTTGTAGTTCGCCTACATGTAGAGAGCACTGTGGGCTCAAACAATGATGGATCTGGACCAAACTTGGCACGGATACTCAATATGTCCAAATGTGAAAACTGATCGGGTTTGGGGAAAATAGACTTTGACATTTGGGAGTTGTACTTGCTGGGATTTATAGCTGACCTACAATCAAGGAGCATTCTGAACCACACCAATGATAGAATTGGGCCAAAGTTCCCACACAGAACCCCCATGACCAACAGAAAATACTGTGTTTTCTGACGGTCTTTGGCGACCCCTCTGACACAGCTTCGTGACCCCCCCAGGGGTCCCGACCCCCAGGTTGAGAAACACTGATATAGTGGTATGGTGCAATATAGCAATGTTCAATGCTGATATTGTACTATGCTAATAATATAATATATTGTATGTAATATATACCTTGTAAGCCGCTCTGAGTCCCCTTCGGGGTGAGAAGGGCGGCATAGAAATGTCATAAATAAATAAATAAATAAAATAACAAATATAATTCTGTCATAGTGATCTGCCAGGTGCCCTTTGGGTACGTCTGCAACTGGCATGTATTTGTCTATTGAGTGAAAAGCATCCCGACGTGAAAAAAGCTTTGGGCTGAGTGGGCCTCGCCAGCCCTTGAGTGTTCCACAAGCACAACCGACACTCACTGGGGTTTGGTGAAGGAACCGTAGATCTTGGCACATGCCGAGTTGTCTCCCCCACAGACCATGCATTTGTCAAACTTCTTTTTGGAGCCAATGACACGGTCGCAGCCAGCGTGGATGCAACGTCCCTGGACACAGACAGAGCTGGATTCGGGAGAGCAGGGCGTTCCGTCAGCAACCTAGAACAAAGGGAGAGTCAGCTTTCCATTTCAAGGACTTTGCATTCTCTTTGGAGCTTCTTTGTATTTTAGCTTCTCTCTCCACCATACGTCTATCTATACCAGGGGTCCTCAAACTTTTTAAACAGAGGGCGGGATTATAATTTGAAAAAAGCATAAATGAGTTCCTATGCACACTGCACATATCTTATTTGTAGTGCAAAAAAACAACACTTAAGACAATACAATAACTAAAATGAAGAACAATTTTGATAAATATAAACTTACTAGCCGTCCCCTGCCACGCATTGCTGTGGCCCATTCTGGTGGTCATGGGCTTTCTATGTGGGAGGTTTGGCCCAATTCTATCGTTGGTGGGGTTCAAAATGCTCTGTGATTGTAGGTGAACTATAAATCCTGGCAACTACAACTCCCAAATGTCGAGATTCTATTTTCCCCAAACTCCACCAGTGTTCACATTTGGGCATATTGAGTATTTGTGTAGAGTTTGGTCCAGATCCATCATTGTTTGAGTCCACAGTGATCTCTGGATGTAGGTGAACTACATCTCTAAAACCAAAGGACACTGCCCACCAAACCCTTCCAGTATTTTCTATTGGTCATGGGAGAACTGTGTGCCAAGTTTGGTTCAATTCCATCGTTAGTGGGGTTCAGAATGCTCTTTGCTTATAGGTGAACTATAAATCCCAACAACTACAACTCTGCTTTCAAGCCGTTTCAGACTTAGGTTGCCCCAAGTCTGGGGCGGGTAAATGACCTTGGAGGGCCGCATCCGGCCCGCCGGCCTTAGTTTGAGGACCCCTGGTCTATACACACACTAAAAGTGAAAATGTGTATGTGGCTGGGCTCCTGCCTCCACAAACAGCTATGGCTCCCACCACTCAGGAGACGCCAAAGGCCCTCCCTCCAATGACCTTGCAGGTTATAGTGAGCGCCATGTACATGTCCAAGAGCCCTCCACCAACATCATACTGCCTACCCCCCAAAAGAAGGCTTTCATACAGCAACAATTCCATCCTAGATTTGATGTGTTTCCTCCATCAGAGGCATCCCAGTGTTTCTGACTCTCTCCATTGGTGTGGAATTTGCATGACCCCGCCCACTGCCTCTCCCTTAACCCTTTTCTACTATTATCTATAGCAAACTGAGGAATTGCAGACACGAAACAATCAGGGCCAACTAACACCTCCCAACAAAGAATCCCTCCGGACAGGAAGCAGCCAGGCTTTGAAGTTGCAAGGCCATTCAATGCTAATCAACGAACGTATACAATAGTCCTGCCAATGTCCTCCACCAACACCATACTGCCCACTACCCAAGGGAAGGCTTTCATTCAGGGACCATTTCATCCTAGATTTTATGTGTTTCCCTCACTACAGGCATCCCAGTATTTCTGACTCTCTCCACTGGTGTGGAATTTGCATGACCCTGCCCACTGCCTCTCCGTTAACCCTTTCCTATTCTTTTCTATGGCAAACTAATGAATTGATCAGCAACAGAACATCCTAGAGAGGTTTGGAAGAAAATGTTTTTAAGAAACAAGATGTGACATGTAGAGGTCATACAAAGTTCAAGCCTACATAGGAAGTAGTTGTGTTGTGGTTAAGCCAAAGGTTGTGGTTAAGCGCAGAGTCTGCAGGTACAAGAAGGTACTTTCCATCAAAAGGTCAAGGGAGAGGGGCTAGAAAGAGAATACTTTACATGACCAAAAAAATGTTCTTGTTTACTTGAGGGTATATAATGGTGTACAAAAGCCAAGGGGGCGCGGCAGTCACTTGAAGGGTAGCATCTGCCTATGCTGCCAGGCTGTCCGTCTTCTTCATGAAGAAACTAAAATAAACTTTGTTTTTTTATCTTTTTTTGGGACTGTCTCCTTCCTTACGTGCTCTCGTGATGTGAACCTAAGAAGACCCAATTTAGGGTCTCTAACATAATCAAGGAGCACTCTGAACTCCACCAGAGATGGAATTGGACCAAAACTTGGCACACAGAGCCTCCATGACCAGCAAAAAATACTGGAGGTCTTTGGGGAAAATTTGCCTTGATTTGGGGGACTTGTAGTTCACCTACATCCAGAAAGGACTGTGAACCCAAACACTGATACATCTGGACCAAACTTAGCACAAGACCTGATATGCCAAAATTTGAAACCTGGACAGATTTGGGGAGAACTGACCTTCCTTTCTGGGAGTTGTAGTTCACCCACAACCAGAGAAACCGTGACCTCCAACAATGTGGGACCTGAACCAGAAGCATTATCTCCTGACATTTCACCTGAATCTATGACAGTCATCTTCAGAGGCTGAGAGACCTCACAAACTTGGCACACAGCACCTCCATGATTAACTCAACTGGAGGGGACTGACTCACCATGGTGGGAGCTGTAGTTTATCCTATAGCCAGAGAGAACATGGACCCCACCAATGATGCATCTAGAGCAAACTTACCCAACATAACAAACTTTAAATACTGCTTGAGTTTTTTGGGGTTAACCTGGCATTATGGGAGTTGTAGTTAATCCACAACCTTATGCATTTGTACAATTAAAAATTGACTTTTTACTGTCATAGTAATGCTTGCCTTTGGTTCAAGGACATAGTAATAGCCCAGCGCATGGGATTGGCAGGTCAGCTTGCATTGGTCCCGTTGAGCCACACCGCTATAGCGAGGCACCCAATCCATAGGGGCAGGATAGTCTTTGAACATGTCCGTTCGGTGGTTGTAGACTGCGCATTGCTGCTCCCGGTATGTCAAGGCTGGAATTATGATTAAGATAATAGAACAAGATAAATTTTCTATTGTTTAGATGGAATCTATTTTCCAATGGTTTGAAAATTAGGAGGAACTTCCTGACTGTGAAAGCCGTTCAGCAGTGGAACTCTCTGCCCCGGAGTGTGGTGGAGGCTCCTTCTTTGGAAGCATTTAAACAGAGGCTGGATGGCCATCTGTCAGGGGTGCTTTGAATGCAATATTCCTGCTTCTTGGCAGAATGGGGTTGGATTGGATGGCCCACAAGGTCTCTTCCAACTCTATGATTCTATGATATCCTTATTTATTTATTTTTGACATATATAATATATAGTATGTACATATAATCTGTAAGCCACTCTGAGTCCCAAAGGGGACTCAGAGTGGCTTACAGATTATATGTACATACATACTATATATTATTAGTATAGTACAATATTAGTATGATATATTACTACTATATTGTACTATACCACTAAACTACAGTTTTGTATTGTTGAAGGTTTTCAAGGCCAGAATCACTGGGTTGTTGTGTGTTTTCCAGGCTGTATGGCCATGTTCTAGAAGCATTCTCTCCTGATGTTTCGCCTGCATCTATGGCAAGCATTCTCAGAGTTTGTTAGGTCTCTCAGCCTCTGAAGATGACTGCCATAGATGCAGGTGAAACGTCAGGAGAGAATGCTTCTGGAACATGGCCATACAGCCTGGAAAACACCCAACAACTTATATGTAATATTATTAATAATATTACATATAATTCTTATATTGTATCATTATGAGTATTATATTGTATTACAGTATAATATTATAATACTATAATGTAATAGTATACAAATGCAGTAAATAATAATAATAATAATAATAATAATAATAATAATAATAATAATAAATTGAATTATCTATATAAATAAAATGTAATGTTTGTCTGTGGGATTAACAGAACTCAAAAACCACTAGATGAATTGACACTAAATTTGGACACAAGACACCTCTCAGGCCAACGAGTGACCATCACTCATAAAAATACTGAAAAGTACAGCAGAAGATGCTTAAAAAGCCAAAAACCAAAAAATACATTACAACGCATGCGTAAAACCACATGTATACACAAAAACACATATATACACATTTACACAAATATATACATACAAAAAACACATATACACAGACTGGGCCACAGGAATGCGTGGCAGGGGACTGAACGTATCTCCCTCTACATCCCACCTTGGAGTTTAAGATCTTCTGGGGAGGCCCTGCTCTCGGCCCTGCCTCTATCACAAGTGAGATTGGCGGGGAAGAGGAGCAGGGCCTTCTCGGTGGTGGCCCTTCACCTGTGGAATTCACTCCCCGGGGAAATTAGATCATCGACATCCCTCCTCTCTTTTAGAAGGAAATTAAAAACGTAGATTTGGGATCAGGCGTTTGGGTAATCTGGCAGATAAATAAGGACAACGACGAATGATAGGAATGGACAATGTGGAATTAATTTATGGATTCTGAGCTGGCGAACGTTGAGCATGAGATTCATTTTATTGACTGTGATATATAATTGATTGCTTTAACTGTTATAATTGTTTAATTGCTCTTTATATATGTTTATCTGTATTATTGTGTAGGCATTGACTTGTGCCTTTTGTAAGCCACCCTGAGTCCCCCCTCAGGGGGTTGAGAAGGGTGGGGTAGAAGTACACGAAATAAAATAAATAATAATAAATAGTATTACATATAATTATTATATTGCATTATTATGAATATTATATTATATTACATTATAATAGTATAATACTATAATATTATTGAGTCGCCTTTAGCTGAGAAAGGCGGTATACAAATGCAGTAAATAATAATAATAATAATAATAATAATAATAATAATAATAATAATAATGCATTATATTATACTAGCCATCCCCTGCCACGTGTTGCTGTGGCCCAGTCTGCTTATCTGGAAAATAATGAGAAAGTATTTGTTTCTAATATAAGTAATTTCTTTCTGCTTGTGGGTAAACAGTATTTCTTGCTGTTTCTTTGCCAGTGTTGATGTGGACATTGTCTGGTTTGCCTACTCTGGAACATGGAACATATCATTGTCCTTCTTTAGGGGTCCCTTTCTATCTATGATACTGTATCTGCGTGTGTGTGTGAATCATATCAATGTATATTTTTATTTATTTTATTTTATTTGGTGCACTTATTGACCGCCGCTCTCAGCCCTAGGGCGACTCGCGGCGGTGAACAGCATATAAAAACAGTTTACAAAGAAGCAAAAGCAAGAAAATCACACAACAATAATACACAATACTGAAAGTTACACTAACTAATCCGCATTCGTCATATCATAGAATCATACCCAAAATCGTAGTCCATGTTCCGTTCCAGATGTCAATTACCAGTTGCCGTATTATTCATTTGAATGCCTTCTCGAATAGCCAGGTCTTTAGGCTCCTGCGGAAGGATAGAAGAGAGGGCGCCTGTCTGATGTCAACAGGGAGGTCGTTCCACAGCCGGGGGGCCACCACCGAGAAGGCCCTCTCTCTCGTCCCCGCCAGGCGTGCCTGTGAAGCAGGCGGGATCGAGAGAAGGGCCTCCCCAGATGATCTCAAGGTCCTCGTGGGCTCGTAGGCCGAGATGCGGTCCGAAAGGTATTTTGGGCCGGAACCGTTTAGGGCTTTGTAGGATAACACCAGCACCTTAAATTGGGCCCGGTAGCAAATCGGCAGCCAGTGGAGCTGGAACAGCAAGGGCGTTGTATGCTCCCTGCGTCCCGCTCCTGTTAGTAACATGGCTGCCGCGCGCTGGACTAGCTGAAGCTTCCGGGCCGTCTTCAAGGGCAGCCCCACGTAGAGAGCGTTGCAGTAGTCAAGGCGGGATGTGACCAGAGCATGTACCACCGTGGCCAAGTCAGACTTCCCAAGGTACGGGCGCAGCTGGCGCACGAGCCTAAGCTGTGCAAATGCTCCCCTGGTCACCGCTGAAACCTGGGGATCCAGGCTCAATGATGAATCCAGGGTCACACCCAAGCTGCGAACCTGCGCCTTCAAGGGGAGTGCGACCCCGTCCAGCACAGGCTGTAACCCTATACCCTGCTCGGCCTTGCGACTGACCAGGAGTACCTCTGTCTTGTCTGGATTTTCGAGGGAGCGGCGCCGGGGAGGGGGTTTTGTATATCTATGTCTGGATGGCTCTTTGTCAGGAGGGCTTTGATTACGTTTTCTTCCCTGGTGAAGAGAGTCGGACTGAATGGCCTTAAGTATTTTCTGTTGGTCATGGGGGTTCTGTGTGGGGAGTTTGCCCCAGTTCTGTCCTTGGTGGGGTTCAGCATGTTCTTTGATAGTAGGTGAACTATAAATCCCAGTAACTACAACTCCTAAATGTCAAGGTCTATTTCCCCCAAACTCCACCTGTGTACATATTTGGGCATATGGAATATTCATGCCAAGTTTGGTGCAGATCCATCATTGTTTGAGTCTACAGTGCTCTCTGGAAGTAGGTGAACTACAACTCCCAAACTTAAGGTCAATGCCCACCAAACCCTTCTAGTGTTTTCTGTTGGTCATGGGCAGGGGTCCACAAACTTTTTAAACAGAGGGCCAGGTCAGAGTCCCCCAAACTGTTTGAGGGCCGGATTATAATTTGAAAAAAACATGAATGAATTCCTATGCACACTGCACATATCTTATTTGTAGTGCAAAAATCATACAATAATTAAAATGAAGAACAATTTTAACACATATAAATTTATTAGTATTTCAGTGGGAAGTGTGGGCCTGCTTTTGGCTGATGAGATAGCATTGTTGTTGTTGTTGTTGTGTGCTTTCAAGTCGTTACAGACTTAGGTTGACCCTAAGGTTTCGGCGGTGGTCAGAGGAGCTTTTGCACAATTAAAACTTGTGCGCCAGCTGCGCCCGTACCTTGGGAAGTCTGACTTGGCCACGGTGGTCCACACTCTGGTTACATCCCATTTAGACTACTGCAACGCTCTCTACGTGGGGTTGCCCTTGAAGACTGCTCGGAAGTTTCAAATGGTCCAGCGCTCAGCAGCCAGGTTACTAACAGGAGCGGCACTCAGGGAGCACACCACTCCTCTGTTGCGCCAGCTCCACTGGCTGCCAATTTGCTACCGGGCACAATTCAAAGTGCTGGCGTTAGCCTATAAAGCCCTAAACGGTTCCGGCCCTATTTACCTCTCCGAACGCATCTCCATCTATGAACCGACCAGGACATTAAGATCGTCTGGGGAGGCCCTGCTCTCGGTCCCGCCTGCATCGCAGGCGCGCCTGGCGGGGATGAGAGACAGGGCCTTCTCGGTGGTGGCCCCTCGGCTGTGGAATGCCCTACCTGCAGACATCAGACAGGCCCCCTCGCTGTTGGCGTTCCGGAGGAAGGTGAAGACTTGGCTCTTCGAACAAGCGTTTGGCTAATCAGTGCAATGGAATATAGGAACACAGTGCAATCGAACATAGGAATATGGAACAAGGATTACGAGAAGGATTCTGATTTGTTGTTGAGGCGCTATGATTAGGATAATGATTGTTTTTGATATTGATTGTTATGTAGAATGTATAAGGTGTTTTATTTGCTTTGATACTGTCTTGTGATAATCTGTATTATGTAAACCGCTTTGAGTCGCCTAAGGGCTGAGAAAAGCGGTATAGAAATAAAGTAAATAAATAAATAAATAAATAAATAAGTGAGGGCTGGGTAAATGACCTTGGAGAGCCGCATTTGGCCCCCGGGCCTTAGTTTGAGGACCCCTGGTCATGGGAGACCTGTGTGCCAAGTTTGGTTTGAATTCCATCACTGGTGGAGTTCAGAATGATCTTTGATTGTAAGTAAACTATAAGTCCCAGCAACTACAACTTCCAAATGACAAAATCAATTTTTTGAGTGAAAAACATACATTGGGTTGTTAGGTGTCTTGTGTCCAAATTTGGTGTCAATTCGTCCAGTGGTTTTTGAGTTGTGTTCATCCCACAAACGAACATTACATTTTTATTTATATAGATATATTGTATTACATTATAATATTATAAACATACCACCATTGTGTTTTACTACAGCTATAAAGTAGTAAGGATTCTCTTACCATTCCCATCAGGGCAATCCTGGACATTGCAGGAGCGATACTGTGTGCGTTTCCCCTCGCAGTATTTGCCCCCGTTGCGTGGGACAGGTTTGTTGCATTCGCGAGTGGAGTATTGCACTCCCCCTCCACAGGTGCGTGAGCAGTCGCCCCACGGACCCCAGCGGCCCCATCCTCCGTGGGTAGGGATCTGCAGGACAGAGTGAGAATCGTAGTTAGCATGGTATCCCTACATTTCCCCATGGTGACTTGGGAATGTCTATGATGGAATGGGAGAGCCTCCTAGCTTCTCAGTGGACTGCTACCAAGGGCGGCTCAATCCATTACACAAAGTAAGCATTTGCAGTATAGTTGATTTTGCCCAGGGGCGCTAGCCGTCCCCTGCCACGCGTTGCTGTGGCCCACATGGGGGTTCTGTGTGGGAGGTTTGGCTCAATTCTATCGTTGATGGGGTTCAGAATGCTCTTTGACTGTCGGTGAACTATAAATCCCAGCAACTACAACACCCAAATGTCTATTTCCCCTAAATTCTACCAGTGTTCACAGTTGGACATATTGAGTATTTCTACCAAGTGTGGTCCAGATCTATCATTGTTTGAGTCAACAGTGCTCTCTGGATGTAGGTGAACTACAACTCCCAAACTCAAGGTCAATGCCCACCACACCCTTCCAATATTTTCTGTTGGTCAAGGGAGTTTTGTGTGCCAAGTTTAGTTCATTTCCATTATTGGTGGAGTTCAGAATGCTCTTTGATTGTAAGGTAAGGTAAAGGTAAAGGTAGTCCCCTGACATGAAGTCCAGTCATGTCTGACTCTGGGGTGTGGTGCTCATCTCCATTTCTAAGCCGAAGAGCCAGCGTTGTCCGTAGACACCTCCAAGGTCATGTGGCCGGCATGACTGCATGGAGCACCGTTACCTTCCCACCTGAGTGGTACCTATTGATCTACTCACATTTGCATGTTTTCGAACTGCTAGGTTGGCAGAAGCTAGGGCTGACAGCGGTAGCTCATGCCGCTCCCCGGAATCGAACCTGCGACCTTTCGATCAACAAGCTCAGCAGCTCAGTGCTTTAACCCAGTGCGCCACCGGGGGCTCCTTGATTGTAGGTAAACTATAAACCCCAGCAACTACAACTCCCAGTTGACACCGAGCCCTTGATGGAGTACTTCCTCATTCTTACTACACGCTGGTGGAAGGTTTTATGCCGTCATAAATTAGTTAAATTAGCCTCTCCACATAAAGCGTTACCTAAATTTCATACTTGACAGATGCAACTGTCTTTTGGGCTGCATAGGTCAACAGCAAGCTAGACTATTAATGGTCGGGAGCTCACTCTGACCCAGGCTGGCTTCGAACTCATGACTTCTTGGTCAGTAGTCATTTAATACAGCTGGCCACTAACTAGCTGCACCACAGCCCCGGTCCAAGTATCAGACGCCTGCTAGAGAGGGCGTTTGACAGATGCAGGGGCGGCTCAACGCATTACGCAAAGTAAGCCTTTGCAGTAGAGTTGATTTTGCCCAGGGGCGCTCTTGAGGCGCTCTTGGGGGAAAATAGACCTTGACATATGCGAGTTGTAGTTACTGCGATGTATAGTTCACCTACAATCAAAGAGCATTCTGAACTCCACCAATGATGGAATTGAACCAAATGTGGCACACAGAAGTCTCACGATGAACAGAAAATATATATCAATGATTGGTTGTGGGGGGGAGGGGGGGGCAAAATACTGTTTCCTTACACTTGAAAATTACCTAGGGCCGCCTCTGACTGCTACTTACATTATATGCCTTCAGCTCGACTTTGCTGATGCATTGGCCACTCATACAGCTCTTGCCTTCCCCACAAGGCGTCCCGTCGGCCCACGGGAAGTATTTCGTCTGGCACATGAATTGTCCATTGATGCGGCCGGTGCACCACAGCGAGGAGCAGGGCAGCTGCATGTTGGGACAATGGCGCGAATCGGGCCCAAAGCTCAGCTGGCACTGCTGGTCAACGTCGTAACTGCTGCCAGGGAAGACAGCGGGCAGGCTCAGGGGTTCGTGTGGCTTGTCTAAAAGGCAGGAACCTACAGAAAGGAAAGAAGGAAAGAAGGAAAAAAACTGTTCTTCTGAAAGGATCACAGTTTTATATCCTTCCTGATCTACTTACTGTATATACTCGAGTATAAGCCTAGTTTTACAGCCCCTTTTTAGGCTGAAAAAGCTGCCCTCAGCTTAGACTCGAGTCAAAGTTATTTATTATTTTACTCTGTTATTACTATTATTTTTATTACATTATTATTTTAGTCTATTCTTGCTATTATTACATTTACATTATTTTATTCTATTACTAGCGGTCCCCTGCCACGCAGTGCTGTGTCCCAGTCTGGTGATCTGGAAAATAAAGTAATGAGAAAGTGTTGGTTTATAATATATGTAATGTCTTTCTGCTTGTGAGTAAATAGTATTTCTTGCAGTTTCTTTGTCAGTGTTGATGTGGAGAGTGTCTGGTTTGCCTACTCTGGAACACGCAACGTATCATAGTCCTTCTTTAAGGGTCTCTTTCAAATTTATGATACTATATCTGTGTGTGTGTGTGAGAATCATATCTATCTATCTATATTTATGACTGGATGGCTCAGATTACATTACTAGAAATCCCAAATGTCTATTTCCTCCAAACTCCATCTGTGTTCATATTTGGGCATATGGAATATTCGTGCCAAGTTTGGCCCAATTCCATCATTGGTGGAGTTCAGAATGCTCTTTGATTGTAGGTAAACTATAAATCCCAGCAACGACAATTCCCAAATGGCAAAATCAATTTTTTTTAGTGGAGGACATACATTGGGTTGTTTGGTGTCTTGCGTCCAAATTTGGTGTCAATTCCCCCAGTGGTTTTTGAGTTCTGATGGTATCACAAACGAACATTACATTTTTATTTATATAGATTATTTTATTACATTTATTTTACTCTATTGATTATTATTATTATTACATTTATTATTTTACTTTATTATTATCGTTATTACATTTATTATTTAACTCTATTATTGGCATTATTACATTTGCATTATTTTACTCTATTATTATTTTATTACATTTATTTTACTCTATTTATTTTGATTATTACATTTATTATTAATTTTTATTTTTTTATTTTTTATTTATTTCACGTACTTCTACCCCGGCTTTCTCAACCCCCGAGGGGAGACTCAGGGCGGCTTACAAAAGGCACAATTCGATGCCAACACAACAATAAAATAACATATATAGACAACAGTTATAAACAATTAAAACAATCAATTATACATCACTATCAATAAAACCAGTCTAGTGCTCAACGTTCGCCAGCTCAGAGTCCGTAAATTCACCTACAATCACATAGCATTCTGAACCACACCAATGATAGAACTGGGCCAAACCTCTCACACAGAACCCCCATGACCACCAGAGTGGGCCACAGCAACGCGTGGCAGGGGACGGCTAGTATTTACATAAAACAGTAATTTAAGATAAGACTGTTCAACTCTGATTAAACTATCATTCTAATCTACTTCAATGTTAATGTGCTTACGTTTTCTTCCAATAAAAATAGAGTAAAATAATAAATGTAATAATAATAATAAAACTAGAGTAAAATAATAAATGTAATAATAATAAGACTAGAATAATATAATAAATGTAATAAAACTAGAGTAAAATAATGTAATAATAAAAATAAAGGAATAAATGTAATAATAATAAAACTAGAGTAAAATAAATGTAATAATAATAACAGAGTAAAATAATAAATGTAATAATAATAACAGAGTAAAATAATGTAATAATAAAAATAAAGGAATAAATGTAATAATAGTAATAAAACTAGACAACTCAAAAATCACTGGACAAATTGACACCAAATTTGGACACAAGACACCTCTCAGGCCAGCGAGTGACCATCACTAATAAAAACACTGAAAAACACAGCAGAAGAGACTTAAAAAGCCAAAAAACAAAAATACATTACAATGCATGTGCATAACCACACAAATACACATATACACAAATATATACACATATATGCAAACACAAAACACATATACACAGACTGGGCCACAGCGACACATGGCAGGGGACAGCTAGTGTAATAATAATAATAAAGTTAGAGTAAAATAATAAATGTAATAATATTAATAACAGAGTAAAATAATAAATGTAATAAAAATGGAGTAAAATAATGTAATAATAAAAATAAAGGAATAAATGTAATAATAATAACAATAAAACTAGAGTAAAATAATAAATGTTATAATAACAATAATAAATAGAGAAAATAATAAATGTTATATTAATAAATAGAGTAAAATAATAAATGCAATAATAATAATAACAGAGTAAAATAATAAATGTAATAAAATAGAGTAAAATAATGTAATAATAAAAATAAAAGGAATAAATGTAATAATAATAATAAAACTAGAGTAAAATAATAAATGTTATGATAACAATAATAAAACTAGAGTAAAATAATAAATGTTATATTAATAAATAGAGTAAAATAATTAATGCAATAATAATAAATAGAGTAAAATAATAAATGTAATAAAAATAATAACAGAGAAAAATAATAAATAACTTTGATTTGAGCGGAATGTAATAAAAATGTAATAAATGCAATAAAAGGGGGGCTTTTCAGCCTAAAAATGGGCTGAAAAACTAGGCCTATACTCAAGTATGTAGGGTAAGTATCCTCTTACGGCTAGGGAGAGCGGAGCGTGGCTGCTGTGGCCAAGAGATCCAGCCAAACAAAGCACAATGTGCCAAATCTTACCATGGCCATTGTCTAGGAAGTCCGTGATGAAACGCCCGCTGCAGGGAGACCACATCTCATTGGGGTCAACAGGGGTCATGACCGAAGCCATCATATGTCGAGACTTGCTCTGGTGGTTCAGCTCTCTGCAGTGCTTATCATCATCATGGAGCATGTTAAAGACATGTCCTAGAAAGGGAAGGGAGGGAAGAAGGGAGAGTTGGTCAGCACTAGGCTTCTTCAAAGCTTCTTTAGATATGTCATCGGTTTCAATGGTTTTAACTATTTATTTTCAATAGTGTTGACGCTTCATTCTATTTTAGTGCTTGCATGTTTTTTAGGTTTTAAATTGTATATTGCAACAACAGCAATAATAACAGCAGCAACAACAATCTATATCTATACACTGAAATTAAATCCAGACAAGACAGAGGTACTCCTGGTCAGTCGCAAGGCTGAACAGGGTATAGGGTTACAGCCTGTGCTGGACGGGGTCGCACTCCCCTTGAAGGCGCAGGTTCGCAGCTTGGGAGTGATCCTGGATTCATCGCTGAGCCTGGAACCCCAGGTCTCAGCGGTGGCCAGGAGAGCTTTCGCACAATTAAAACTTGTGCGCCAGCTGCGCCCGTACCTTGGGAAGTCTGATCTGGCCACGGTGGTACACGCTTTGGTCACATCCCGCCTCGACTACTGCAACGCTCTCTACGTGGGGCTGCCCTTGAAGACGGCCCGGAAGCTTCAGCTAGTCCAGCGCGCGGCAGCCATGTTGCTAACAGGAGCAGGGCGCAGGGAGCATACAACGCCCCTGCTGTCCCAGCTCCATTGGCTGCCGATTTGCTACCGGGCCCAATTTAAGGTGCTGGTGTTATCCTACAAAGCCCTAAACGGTTCCGGCCCAAAATACCTTGCAGACCGCATCTCGGCCTATGAGCCCACGAGGACCTTGAGATCATCTGGGGAGGCCCTTCTCTCGGTCCCGCCTGCCTCACAGGCACGTCTGGCGGGGACGAGGGAGCGGGCCTTCTCGGTGGTGGCCCCCCGGCTTTGGAACTCCCTCCCTGCTGAACTTAGACAGGCGCCCTCCCTTATGGCCTTTCGTAAGGGCCTGAAAACATGGCTTTTCGAATTGGCCTTCAACTGAGTGCTATGTTATTGGAAATGACGACCGGAATGGACTATGACTATGAGATTGATTATGACCCCAGGATATGACGAAGCGGATTTTTAGTATAAGTAGTTGTCATGTAGTAGTAGATTGTGTTTATTGTCTTGATTTATTGTAAACTGTCTTTCTATGTTGTTGTACACCGCCACGAGTCGCCCTAGGGCTGAGAGTGGCGGTTAATAAGTGCAAGAAATAAATAAATAAATAAATAAATAAATAAATAAATAAATACACATAACGGCACTCCATGCAGTCATGCCGGCCACATGACCTTGGAGGTGTCTACAAGAAAAGGAATCAAATCTCCTTGACTGGGATCTGAAAATGGTAAATATGGAAAGAATAAAAGAGGAATTAGGAGACTTAGATTGGTATAAGTATCTACAATTGGGTAAATGGTCAAGTGATATAAGGAAAAAGTATAATGGAGGTAGGGAATACACAAAAATAGAAAAGATGATAACTCAAAGGGAGACTAAAGAAGAGAATGTAACATTAAAAGGCACAGTAAGTGATATCTATAAACTGTTATTAATGAATGAACAGGAACAAGATTATTTGAAGGAAGTATGGGAAACAGACTTGGGGAAAAATTTATTTATTTATTTATTTATTTACTCCATTTGTATACCGCATATATCAGCCTAAAGCGGCGACTCTATGCGGTTTACAGTAAAAAACAACACTAAACAATGTATAAGACACACAATACAAACAACACATAATCATCAACGCCACACTTAGAATCAGATACCGATCTCATAATCCATTTCCATTCCTTGTCCAATGCCGTCATTATTGAATTGGTTGTTACTGCATAGACTATCCGAATGCCTGCTCATAGAGCCACGTCTTCACCCTCCTCCGAAACACCAGCAACGAAGGGGCCTGCCTGATGTCCACCGGTAGCGCATTCCATAGCCGAGGGGCCACCACCGAGAAGGCCCTGTCTCTCGTGCCCGCCAGCCGCACTTGTGACGCCGGCGGAACCGAGAGCAGGGCCTCCCCAGAAGATCTTAACGCTCTTCCCGGTTCGTAGGAGGAGATGCGTTCGGAGAGGTAAGTGGGGCCGGAACCGTGTAGGGCTTTGAATAATCAAAGAATGGGCAAACATATGGAATATGAGGATACTAAAAAATATGTCTAGCAGAATTAAAGAAAATTACTACAAAATGATATGGAGGTGGTATCTAACCCCTATTACATTAAATCAGGTTGATAAAAATATTCAAATCAGTGTTGGAGAGGTTGTCAGGAAATAGGGACGTATCTTCATATGTGGTGGTCATGTAACATTATGCAAAAATTTTGGGAAAGCATATTCAAAGAAATAAGAGCAATAATAAAAATAGAGACTGAGATTACACCAAAACTAGCATTATTACTTATACATGACAATACAATTCCATCACAAGAGGAGAAAGAATTGGTTTCTAACTTGATAACAGCAGCTAAATTGTTGATAGCAAAAAATTGGAAGGAAAAAAAAAGAAATTCAATTAGAAGAATGGTATAGGGAAATTTGGAATATAGCGATTAATGATAAGCTAACTTGCAATATTAAAATTAAAAGGGGAATATGTAAACAAACAGACTTTTGGAAAATATGGGGAAAATTTATCGAGTATGTGTTTAATGAGGGAAAGGGGTATCAGCCAGCAAGAGAAACGATGATATTTTGGAATGGTGAAACAACATGAGTTGGTTGGTCCTGGTGGAGGGGGCACAAACTAAGGGTAAGGGGAAGAGGGGGAAAATGGTATAATAATAATTATAAAGAAATACAATATGTATAACTGGATAAAAGGTGTGTGTGATATGTAGCACAAGTTGTAGTAGAAATTTAAAAATAATAAGAAATATGATCAAAGAAGTTTTTGGTGTTTATTTACTGTTAGATTATATATAATATGAAATAAAAAATAAAAAATATATTAGTTAGGAATCAAATCTCCTGGCACAGCCATGCCAGCACACCAATAATAGAGTAAAACAGTGGTTCTCAACCTGGGGGTCGCGACCCCTGTGGGGGTTGCAAGGTGGTGTCAAAGGGGTCGCCAAAGACCATCAGAGAAAACAGTATTTTCTGTTGGTCATGGAGGTTCTGTGTGGGAAGTTTGGCCCAATCCTATCGTTCAGATTGCTCTTTGATTGTTGGTGAACTATAAATCCCAAGAACTACAACTCCCAATGTCAAGGTCTATTTTCCCCAAACTCCACCAGTGTTCGCATTTGGGCATGTTGAGTATTCGTGTCTGTTTTGGCCTATATCCATCATTGTTTGAGTCCACAGTGCTCTCTGGATGTAGGTGAACTACAACTCCAAAATTCAAGGTCCATTCCCACCAAACCCTTCCAGTATTTTCTGTTGGTCATGGGAATTCTGTGTGTCAAGTTTGGTTCAATTCCATCATTGGTGGCGTTGAGAAGGCTCTTTGATTGTAGGTGAACTATAAATCCCAGCAACTACAACTCCCAAATTACAAAAACAACCCCCCTCAACCTCATTTGGGTGTATTGGGCATTTGTGCCAAATTTGGTTCAGTGAATGAAAATACATCCTGCATATCTGATATTTACATTACGATTCATAACAATAGCAAGATTACAGTTATGAATTAGCAATTAAAATAATTTTATGGTTGGGTGTCACCACAACATGAGGAACTGTATTAAGGGGTCGCAGCATTCGGAAGGTTGAGAACCACTGGAGTAAAATAATAAATGTAATAACAATAATACTAAAGTGAAATAATAAATGTAATAATAATAATAATAATAATAATAATAATTTGTTGTTGTTCATTCATTCAGTTGTCTCCGACTCTTTATGACCTCATGGACCAGCCCACGCCAGAGCTCCCTGTCGGCCGTCACCACCCCCAGCTCCTTCAAGGTCAGTCCAGTCACTTCAAGGATGCCATAATAAGTAGAGTAAAATAAATGTAATAAAATAATAATAGAGTAAAATAATGCAAATGTAATAATACCAATAATAGAGGAAAATAATAAATGTAATAAAAATAATAGTAATAACAGAGTAAAATAATAAATAACTTTGACTCAAATGCGAGGGCAGCTTTTTCAGCCTAAAAAAGGGGTTGAAAAACTAGGCTTATACTCAAGTATATACAGTTTTAGCAATCAAAACCAGGACAGATATTTAATTTGCAGTTAATTTCCTGAACTGGTATGCCAGCAACCCAATCGTGACTGCTTGGAATGGAGTAAAAAAGGTTTTACGACAGCTCCTCTCCTTCCTTAAATTACTTCCAGGAACAACACTAAATTAATGTATTTTTATTTTGGCATAGGTCCCTATTGGACGGAGTAGGACTTCCTGTTGGCATGCACAGAAGTGTGCTGTCCATCACAGATCCTTCCTAAATGAAAGGGTGCCATGTACATTTACCCAGTTCGTGTGCGGCGGTGAAGGCCGACTGGAGTCCGTCGTCTTCAACAATGGAGCAGCTGCGTGTTGGGTCGCATACGGTGCCAACGTCCGCCATGCCTAGAGTGCCACAGCTGGAGCGCCCACAGAGATCCTGCCAATGAAAGAGACATGTGTTCCCACTATTCGAGATGGGATCATCCCTTGTCTGCCGAGGCAAGCAAGGAGTCCTTGCAGGACGGCATTGCCCCAACGCTGCACCCCAGAAGCACATACCCTGAGGACTTCTTCATGCATCTAGAGCATTTCCTCTTGTCATTCAATACTAATCAAGCTGGTCAATTGCAAAATTCACACTTGATCTGGCCTGAATATCCTGAATAGATTACTGCAATGCGCTCTACGTGGGGTTGCCTTTGAAGACTGTTCGGAAACTTCAACTAGTCCAACGGGTGGCTTCTAGACTACTCGCCGGAGTGTCATACAGGGAGCATACCACCCCTCTGCTATGTCAGCTCCACTGGCTGCTGATCCACCTCCGAGCACAATTCAAAGTGCTGGTCCTGACCTATAAAACCTATACGGCTCCGACCCAGCGTACCTGTCCGAACGTATCTCCTTCCACGTCCTGCCTAGGAATTTAAGATCTTCTGGAGAGGCCCTGCTCTTGGCCCTGCCCTTGTCATAAACAAGACTGGTGGGGATGAGGGACAGGGCCTTCTCGGTGGTGGCCTCCTGCCTGTGAAATTCACTCTCTGGGGAAATTAGATCATCGTCATCCCTCCTCTCTTTTAGAAGGAAATTAAAAAACATGGATATGGGACCAGGCCTCTGGGTAATCCGGCAGACTGACAAGCACAATGACGACTAGAGCTATGGAAACGGATTATGATAAGCTGAATGGACTCGCCAATTACAGAACTCGGTGAAATGATGGCCACCAGGTTGGCTTCTTTTCTAGTAGATTTTGTTGTATTAACTCAATGTTTTAATTATTTATAATTATTGTTTGTTGTGTATTTTATTGTGTTTAATTGTAGGCATCGAATATATGCCGGCTGGAGTCCCCCCGAGGTGGTTGAGAAGGGCGGGGTAAAAATACCTGAAATAAATAAATAAATAAATAAACTTGCCTCCTAGAGTTCTTTGTCCCACCCTGGACATTTCACAGAGATATAAACCCCACTTGCCTAGTTTCCAACAGACCCCTCAACCCCTGAGGATGCATTAAGATCACTCTGACCAAAAGGTCATGAGTTCGAAGCCAGCCTGGGTTGGAGTGGGTTTCCAACCAATTGTGTGTAGCCTGTTGTCGACCTTTGCAACCTGAAAGACAGTTGCATCTGTCAAGTAGGAAAATTAGGTACCACCTTAAAGTGTGGGGAGGCTAAATTAACTGATTTATGAGGCCATAAAGAAGACTCCAGCAAAGCATTCTGGCTGGACCATGAAAGCGACAGATCCCCTGGCGTCGCAGATGGACCATGAAAGCGACAGATCCCCTGGCGGCCAGAAAAAGTTAAATAGCCTCTGTGTATTATTATTATTATTATTATTAAACTTTATTTGTACCCTGCTAGCATCTCCCGAAGGATTCGATGCGGCTTACACAGGCCAAGGCCTCAACACACAACATAACAATACAATCTAAGCAAATCAAACAATTAAAACAGAATAAAGCAAAGTGAACAACAGGCACAATACACTAAAACACAATAAAACAGGGCCAGGCCAGAGTAATGGGTACAAGAATTAAAAAGTGATGATGTCACAGGAGGTGTATATAAGGCTTCTAGGGCAAGTGCAATGTGTGATGTGCAGTAATCATTGGTTCTGGTAAAGTGCTTATGGGACTTGGTAGTGGAGATTTCCTAATCTGAAAAGGCGCATCGGAAAAGCCAGGTCTTCAGGTTCTTTCTGAAGACAGCCAATGTAGGGGCCTGTCTAAGGTCTTTGGGGAGGGTGTTCCAGAGTTGGGGGGTCCACCACGGAAAAGGCCCTGTCCCGCGTCCCCACCAAGTGCACTTGCGACGCCGGTGGGATCATGAGCAGGGCCTCTCCAGATGACCGAAGTGAACGTGTGGGTTCGTAGATGGAAATGCGGTCACGTGTATGTCTGTATATGTTTGTATGTCAAAAATTGGCATTGAATGTTTGCCATATATGTGTAGACTGTAATCCGCCCTGAGTCCCCTGCGGGGTGAGAAGGGCGGAATATAAAAGCTGTAAATAAATAAATAATAAATGTGGGTGAAACATCAGGAGAGAATGCTTCTGCTACATGGCCAGATTTGTACTAAGTTGTAGAATTCAGCATCTCTTGCTACAGAAAGTGTTCGCATATGTCTATGATCTATGCAAAGTGTGCATAAGTTGCAGAATTCAGCATCTCTTGCTACAGAAAGTGTTCGCATATATGTCTATGTTCTATGCAAGGTGTGCATAACTAATGCCTTACCCGCCTGGTGAAGAGAATGGCTGTGTCGAAATGCTCAGGGTCCTTGTCGCTGGCTTTGTTGAGGCCTTTCTGCCAAGCGCAGAAGTTCCTGAGCGTCTCGGCAGCGTTGGACGACACCTGCAACCCGTCCCCGGCTTCTCCGATCACGACCATCTTGGTCACCACCAAATTGACAGGGTTCTTGAGGCTGGGATGGCGGAAGAACTTGGCCGCTGCTGCCATGATGGTGAGCAAGTAAGGCTTCAGGCCAGCCCCATGGAAACGCACCATCTCCTCGTCCGCCACCACCAAGGTCTCCACAAAGTGCGGGATGGATGCAAACCGCTATATGGGACAGAAGGGGGAAAGAAGAGGGGTGGACTTAGGCAATCACAAAAGAACCACATTCCAAGACGTCTAAAGGTTCCAAATGGAGTGGTTTATATTGGGAGGGGAATGGTTCGATTTCTATGTTTTCCAGAAGCTTGTTGCACCCACACACACAATCTCATCTTGCTCAAAGCAGATGGTGAAAACAGAAGAACGGCCTGCCTTAGGGGAGAGAGAGTGCTTGCTCCATAATTGTTTAACTTTTACACAAATGAGCAGCCACTGCCAGAAGGAACAGAGAGTTTCATCTATGCTGATGATCGTGCCATCACTGCCCAAGCTGGGAGCTTCGAAACGGTTGAACAGAAGTTCTCTGAAGTTTTAGGTGCTCTTACTATTACAGGGGAAAACAGCTGATTCCTAATCCATCTAAAATGCAGACATGTATTTTCCGTCTTAAGAACAGGCAAGCATCTCGAGCTCTGAAGATGACCTTGAAAGGAATCCCACTGGAGCATTGCAGCGCACCCAAATACCTGGAAGTCACTCTGGACCGTGCTCTGACCTACAAGAAGCACTGCCTGAATATCAAGCAAAAAGTGGGCGCTAGAAATAATATCATACAAAAGCTAACTGGCACATCCTGGGGATCACAACCAGACACAGCAAAGACATCTTGTGCTTTGCTACTCTGCTGTTGAGGATGCATGCCCAGTGTGGAATACATCTCACCACATTAATGTAATATAGATATATCTATATAAATAAAAATGTAATGTTTGTTTGTAGGATTAACATAACTCGAAAGAGAGAATGCCTCTAGACCATGGCCATATAGCCTGAAAAAACCTACAACAACCCAACTCAAAAATCACTGGACGAATTGACACCAAATTTGGACACAATACACCTATCAGGCCAACGAGTGACCATCACTCGAAAAACACAGCAGAAGAGACTTAAAAAGCCAAAAAACAAAAAATGCTTTATAACGCATGCGCAAAATGACATATATACACAAACACACTTATATACACATATATTAGCATATATATATAGACACACAGATACTGTATATACACAAACAAAACACATATTCACACTGGGCCACAGCAACGCATGGCAGAGGACAGCTAGTGTGTGTGTGTATGCTAACATATATGTGTATTGTATGTAATATGTATTATACATAATATATTAATATATGCTATTATATATGTGTATATATAAATACACATATATTTTGTTTTTATTGCTTTTTTGATGTCTTGTATTGTTTAATGTTTTTTATCTATATTATGTTTTATGTATACTGATTTGTTGGAAACCGCCTTGAGTCGCCAATTGGCTGAGAAAGGCGGTATACAAATACAGTAAATAAATAAATAATATAATATATAATATGTATATCTCTGTATTGTATGTAGCTCTTAATGAGACATGCTGCATTATCACAGGATGTCTATACCCAACACCACTGGAGACACTGTACTGTTTAGCTGGTATTGCACCACTTGACATCCATTGGGAAGTAGCAGCCAATAATGAAAGGACCAAGGCAGTGACATCTCCGGCCCATTCTCTGTTTGGATATCAGCCAGCAAGCCAAGGCCTTAAATCAAGAAATAGCTTCCTAAGATCGACAGAGATACTCGCAGAAACATCTCAGCAAGCAAGAATCCAACAGTGGCAGGGTAAAACCCAGCACCTCAATCAGTGGCTGAGGCCGGATGAGAGACACCCTCCTAGGCACCCAGAAGGCTGGGCAACTGGGAAGGCACTGAACAGACTGCACTCTGGCACCACGAGATGCAGAGCCAACCTTAAGAAATGAGGCTACAAAGTGGAGTCCACGACATGCGAGTGGGGAGAAGAGCAGACCACTGACCACCTGCTGCAATGCAACCTGAGCCTGCTACATGCACAATGGAGGATGTGCTGTCACACGCTGGGCCTGTAGTAATTGTCTATTAACAGGACGTGGTCTCTATATGCCCAGTGGGACGCCCGGGGTGCCTCGGCTGAGAGGCCCTATGGATTTCCCTATACAAAGTCTTTAGAAGCTTATAAAGTTTAACAAGGTTCTTTATTAATGCTTAAATCTTCAACAAATCAATCAAATACCTATTAACTTGCCCACAATGGACAAGCAACTTACTTCATGAACTGTTTCTTTCTTCTATTAAGGAAATCCTTTGACCCCTCCCTGGGCAATCTGTTCTTAGGCTGGCGTGGGGCCCTACTCCCAGTTCCAATTTGCTTTATGGGTAACCCGAGTAGACCTTACTGGCCAAGAGTTTGTAGATTTTCCAGCTGGTGTCCTTTACCTTCCAGCAAAGCTGGCTGTATTTCTTAGTAAAGCTGTGGAACTGCTTTCCCCAGAAGCTGTGGGGCTGTAGATTCCCCAACAAAAACTTTTAGAACTGTTTCCTTAACAAAATGAAGTTCAACAGTGACAAATGCAAGATACTCCACTTTGGCAGGAAAAACGAAAAGCAAAGATACAGAATGGGGGGTGCCTGGCTTGAGAGCAGTACGTGTGAAAAAGATCTTGGAGTCCTCGTGGACAGGAAGTTAAACATGAGCCAACAATGTGATGTGGCGGCAAAAAAAGCCAATGGGATTATGGCCTGCATCAAAAGGAGCATAGAGTCTAGATCTAGGGAAGTCATGCTCTCCATGCTCTATTCTGCTCTGGTTATACCACACCTGGAATATTGCGTCCAATTCTGGGCACCACAGTTCAAGAGAGATATTGACAAGCTGGAATGTGTCCAGAAGAGGGCAACTAAAATGATCAAGGGTCTGGAGAAC